CCTGCTCCTAGACGAACCTTGCCCTGGGCACCATGCTGTCCCAGATGGGGAGAGGAGACAAGAATGTGTGGGAAGGAAGCATCCCTTGATGGGACCCGGAGGCTGGAGCTGCAGAGAAGCAGCGCTCGAGAGGGTGGGGCTATGGACAGGCTGGGAGAACATTTCCACAGATGTCTGCCACAAAGTGGGAAAAAAAAATTATAGCAGGGGGAAAATGAAAGAAGATAAATTCAGAAACAAATTTAGCAAGCACTAAAAGAAACATTCATAAATCAGTCCAAGGGCAGAGGCTCTGGAATGAACCCCTATGTCTGTGATTCTACCTTCCCTTCCATTTTTACCTCCATACTTGCTCCCCATTCCCCACCAATTATGCTCCAGTGAGATGCAGCCACACAGTCATTTCCTACATGCACCATCCTGTTTCTTTTGCCCAAAATGTTCCTCTCCGCAGTGATCCTCTCATTCACCAGGAACCACGTGTGGATTGCCTTTTGCCGTCCAGGCAGTGCGCTCGTGACTTCTTCCAGGATGGACTGCCAAGTTCTCCTTTCCTCTTAATTCTAGCACATATCTCAGTGCACAAGGCTTGGTTTTTAAAATAGTGTGCTTATTTATTTCATTAGTCTGTGAGCTACTATTATCTTTTTTTTCTTACTCTGGTACTCAGCTCATAGCCTGAGCCATATGAAGTATTCGCGTGTTTATGGAGCGAGTGGTTGAACCTCTTATCAGACATCAGTGATCATATAAGCAACATATTTCTTCCTTTGTCTCTTCCGTGGCAGCATACACAGAGCTAAATGTTGTGTCCTCTTGCGAAAGCTAACATGCTCCCAGTGTTAGGGAACCCAGCATCTCTCAATCTTTAACCCTCCTCTGGGTTTTTATTTTTGATTTCCTGTTTTGATTCTGATTCATATTAAAAGCTACATTAATTACTCTTGGAGAAAAGAGGGAAATAGGGAAAAGAAGCTCTTCTACTCATCAGTTAGTGCTCTATTCAGTATGTCTTCATGTTTTCCAAGCCCATAGGAAAGATTTCAATAACTCCATTTACCAGTTGTAGTTGTAACAAATTCTCATCTGTGCCCAGCACCTTCTGACTTTCCAATCATTTTAACACCACTATTTCACGGGTCTGGGCATTTTTAATTTGGTCTTATTAGTGAAGAAGGGCCATTTACATGAAATTATTCAGATTTTAATAGCCAACCACCTTCCTGTTGTATTAATTCATTTTGGAAGCCACCTGCACAAATGAGAACAATCTTCTTCAGCATAATACAATTATCTGGATGTTTTAGCAGGTAATGCTGATTATGTGCATCTGATCTTTTCTTATGTTATATACAGATAAGTAATCTTTGCTTAAAAATGCCAAGTGAGTTATTGGGACTGGTTAATGATTAATCTCTCTTTCCAAGTGATACTCAGCATTCTGTTGGCGTCCACACTGGTTACTCTGATACAACAGGGCTCTACCAAGTTCATTATCCAACCGACTGGTCTGGGACTGCATGATCATTAGCATGCAAATTAGCACAAACAAAGGACAGGTAAAATGACTTCCCTTCCTGTGGGTCACACGGTTAGGAGGAAATGAAGCATGTTTTCATTTAAGAAAATTTATTTTGAGAACATTCAGTGTCACTCATTGAGGAATTAGATTTTGAACATTTGGCTATTTTAAACACAGAGTCATAGAATTTTAGCAGTGAACTTTCTAGTGCACAATTTAGAGGTAAACCTAAGAAACTTCCTCATTCTCCCTGTGTATTGTACATGTTAGGGAATTAAGGGTTGGAGTGGAAGAGAGAGGTGCTGCTTTTGCATCTTGAGAGAAGTGGAAGAGTTGTGGGTTGGAGGGAAGATGTGGATTGCGGAGAAGGAGAAGCAGTGTCACTGCATTCTTATGTCTCAAAGTAGAACACAAATGCCCACCACCCCTGCTAGGGAGAACTCCAGTTTTCACAATGTTTCCCACCCCAGGCCTTTCCCATGCCAGGGTCAGGGTTCGGGGGGTCCTCGAAGAAGCTGAATCTCACACAAACCTGTCTTGGTTGCCTCTTGTCACACCGTCGTCCACTTCCCTGCTACCTCCAAGTCCAGACTTTCCTCCCGATCAGCACCCATCTCTTCTGGTAGCCCTGCTGGATTTCTGTTCTTCTGGCACTGCTGCCAACACCATGCTGCCATCCAGAGTTAGCCTCAGAGCAGGCCTCTGCTCTCCTCTCTTTCCAAAAGCCATTCCTGCTCTTCCTTATCACCTGCACGTGGGAGCAGAACCCAGAAGTAGTTCTAGCTCTTGCTGCAGTAACTGCCCACTTCTCTAGAAACTCACTATTTCCCTGTGTTGCTAATTCATCTACTACTTGAACTGAAAACCAACTTGCTATTAACTGACAACCAAGCCAAATCAAAGCGAAGAGTTGTGTTGGTACCATTTGGCTGGCCTGCCTCCAGGTGCACCCCTCACCACCCACATGCTCTAGCCCTCACTACGGCCTTAAAGCCAGAGCTCGAATTCCTTCCAGCCGCCTGAATGAGGGAGAAGTTCCTTCCTTAGTCTAGAGCCCACCTCAATTCCTAGCTTACGATTACCAATTCTCCTAGATGATTGAAACACCCATTCCTTCCTGACCTGCCAAGATGGGGGGTTTCTTCTCCTGCCCATGTGGTCTCAACAAGGCAATAATGAGAGATGGATAATGGTACATTTCTCGACCTGGGTTTCTCAATTTTATACATTATTAAAAGTAAAACCCCTGGCTACAAAGGAAAATCACTGGTGTAATGTGGGATGATGGCAAAGACAGGGCTGGGGTCTTCTCATTCCGACATTACTGCTGTTAAACTCTGACACACTACAACATTGAGGAAAAGAAAATGCTTAGGGAAAAACGCAGATCCTCGCCCCGTCACTATTTCATCAGCTGAGTCTTTAAAATTGTAACTTAAACAGCATATTTGTGTATCAAATCATATTCATGTTTATAAGATACTTGAATGGGAAAATCCCTGACATTCCCAATTTTCGTTGTGAAGAACAGTCTGCTTTTGTTCCTGGTGCTTACGTTGTTTACATAAAGCATAAGAATTTGGTCAAAGGGAGAGCCAACCGCAGGGCCTTAGCACCCTTGCCGACTGCGACACGTCTCAGAGGTTGTGCGTATAACATGTCCCTGACACTCTCACTTTTTTCTTTTTTTCTAGGCTACTCCTAGTCTACTCCTAACTAGGACTTTCCCCAGTCACCCTACTCACAGGGCTCAAAAAGAGGAGGGATTTGTTTGCTGAGTTGATGGTTTCTGAAACTGTTTCTGAAATTCTGATCATAGCAACAGGAAATTGAAGGCAAGATACTAGAAATAAGGGCAAATTAGATATAACTGTTTACAGCCGATGTTAACTCAAAGGAAAATCTTTTTTGGATCAAATGCAAAAAAAAAAAAAAAAAAAAAAGAGCTGGCAAATCTAACAAGACCTGCAAAGATGAATATGTATTCCGGGGGAAAAAAGAATAAATACTTGTTACAAGGAACATTTTGGAGAAAAGCATGATAAAATGTAATGATACTCAAGAACTTCTTTGTCAATAGCAAAGAATAATTTATGAGGAACTTCATCAAGAAACAAGATATGTCCAGGACCCAAGTGATTCCCTGTCATGCTGCCAGTTCTTCTCCTTGATGGGGGAACATTAGGCTGTTATGTATGACTCAGTGATACTGGCCACAAGGCCATCTTTCTAATCTCCTGTCACTCCACTTCAGGCTCATACTCCACACGTGCACATACACACAACCCACCCTGCCCCAGCGCCCTTCAGAGGACAATCTGGCTTCCTAAGGAGACTTTTCCATAAAAGGTAATGAGCGGATCAGCCCACAGGTTCAGTCTAGCATACTTGTCATTTCTGCTCCCTATTAAAAATAAACTGATATATGATCAGTTCAGTCTGTCCCGCAGGACCTGATGGGCTTTGCTTGAGCTAAAAAGAAAAAACGAGGTTCCAGACCAAGGGGTGTAGTCATGCCCCAGGACGATACTGAGCAGCCCCTGACCTCCCTAGAGAGCATCTTTGTCTCACTGATTTCCAATTTTAATCTGTAAACAACTATATCATATTTTTTGAATATTTAGGTAAACATCTACATATGTATGCATATATATACATGTATATATACAAACTATGTATTTACAAAGTGTCTAAAATATTGCAAAATTGTTTTATATAGATTTCATTTAACCCTTTAAAGTAATTCTTTAATGCAGTTAATATTATTTTCATTCTATAGATCAGGTGACTGCTACTTAGAGAGTTAAAGTGATTTGCCTAAGGCCACACAGCTAATAAATGTCGTAGCTAAATATGTGAACACAGACAAATCTGACTCAAAATTCTTGCTCAGTCAATCTCAAAATATTACCTTGTGCAAACTAGAGCTCTCCCCACTGATAATGTTATCCCATTTTAGCACAGAAACTTGAAATGTAACTTCTCTTGCTAACTTAGTGAAGTAAATTAGAATGAGATTGAGGAGGCTCTCTGTAAATAAAAGAAAGAAACAAAAAATAATGAGCAGATATTCAATATTCACATATAGAGCAAGATATAAATTCAAACTTTTGATAAAGACTTAAGTAAACAAAATAAACAGAAACAGAGTCGTAGAGAGACTCAATAACTTGCCTAAGGTCATACAGCTAGTCAAAAACATGGTCCAGATTCAAAATCGGGTCTCTGCATCTACTACAGATGCAGGAGCCAGCAGGCTGACTACTCCGAGAACTCATCATTGCACTTTCACTGGTAGGTGATTGAATGCACCTTATGATGCTACAGGATGTGAGAACAAGGGGGTGGGGTGGGGTAGGCTAAGTGAGTAGGCTTTTTACAATTAATAAAAGTCCTAGCACTGACACTGTTTTTTGTTGAATAAAATAAAACATACTAGGAATTAATAAATAACAGAAACACTAATTTTTAACCATAGAAAGACAGCTAAACCACCAAGGCCCAGCCAACTGGTGGGATCCTGAAATGAACTTCCCTTGAAAGCGGCACGTCTTTGCACCCTGTCAGCGAAGAGATTGTTTACATGCAATGAGGCTGAGTTTAAAAGAAGGCAGAAAGAAAGAAGAAAACACTATGACTACAGTTCTGTGAGTGTGCATGTGAGTAACGAAAGCATTGCGAAGGGAATTTGGAATGCTATCATTGGTTCAGAATGAGTTTAACACTCTTCATGCACTTTTTATTTTCTTTTAAGTGATTCGTCTTTCCAATTATTTATATTTTTTATTTTGAAATAATGTCAGGCTTAGAATAGAGTTGCAAAAATAGTAGAAAGAACTATCATAAGCCTTTCACCCCAGCTGCTAACATTTTGCCACATTTGCCTCTTTCTCTCTCTCTCTCTCTCTGTCTCTCTCTCTGTGTGTACATATATGTGTATATATATGTATATTACCAACATTATTGTTTCTGAACTATTTGAGAATAACTGGAAAGAGTAGAGTCCCTTCTGCTCAATTCTTCATGTATTTACTGAGAAAACGGACTCTCTCTTACATACCACATTATAATTATCAAATCAAAAATTATTGTTGATACACTTATCTAAGCTATAAACCTTATTCATTTCCTCCCAATTATCCCAAAATTGTCCTCTATGGAAAGAAAGAATTCTAGTTTGGGGTCCAACCCAGGATCACATGTTACATTCAATTGTCACGACTTAATGTCTCTTTAATCTAGAAATATTTCTACTTTAAAAAAAGTATTATTTTAGAGCAGTTTTAGGTTCACAGTAAAATTTAGAGAGAAGTACAGAGTTCCCACATGCCCCTACCCCTCCACACACACAGCCTCTGCAAATATCAACATATCCCATCAGAGTGATAAGCCTACATTGACACATCATTTTTATCCAGAGTCCTTAATTTAAATCAGGGTTTACACTTGTGATGTACATTCCATGGGGTTGGACAAATGTATAATGAAGCGTATCCACTTTTATAGTCCATAGAGAATAGTTTCACTACCCTAAAAACTCTCCGTGCTCCACCTATTCATCCCTCCTTCCTTACCAATCCCTGGAAACTACTAATTTTTTACTATCCCAGTAGTTTTGCCTTTTGTGGGATGTCATATATTAGAACCATACAGCCTGTGGACTTTTCAGATTAGCTTTTTTTTTCTTTATTCAAAAAAAAGTAGGATACATGTGCAGAATATACAGGTTTGTTACATAGGTATACATGTGACATGGTGGTTTGCTGCACCTATTGACCTATCTGCTAAGTTCCTTCTGCTCACCCACTACTTCCTGACGGTCCCTGGTGTGTGTTGTCCCCTTCTCTGTGTCCGTGTGTTCTCAATGTTCAGCTCCCACTTATGAGTGAGAATATGCAGGTTTGGTTTTCTGTTCCTGTGTTGGTTTGCTGAAGATGATGGCTTCCAGCTTCATCCATGTCCCTGCAAAGGAAGCAACCTCATTCCTTTTTATGGCTGCATAGTATTTCATAGTGTACATGTTCCACATTTTCTTTATCCAGTCTGTCACTGATGAGCATTTAGGTTGGTTCCATATCTTTGCTATTATAAATAGTGCTGCAATAAACATATGTGCGCATGTGTCTTTATAGTAGAATGATTTCTATCCCTCTGGGTATATATCCATTAATGGAATTGCTGGATCAAATGGTATTTCTGGTTCTAGATCCTTGAAGAATCGCCATCCTGTCTTCCACAATGGTTGAACTAATTTACATTCCTACCAACAGTGTAAAAGTGTTCCTATGTCTCCATGGCCTCACCACTATCTATTGTTTCCTGATTTTTTTAATAATCAACATTCTGACTGGTGTGAGATTGTCTCATTGTGATTTTCATTTGCATTTCTCTGATAATTAGTGAATCTCACAATCTTGGCTCACTGAAACCTCCCGTGTTCAAGCGATTCTCCTGTCTCAGCCTCCCAAGTAGCTAAGATTACAGGTCTGACACCATACCCAGCAAATTTTTTTTATTTTTAGTAGAGATGTGATTTCACAATGTTGGCCAGGCTGGTCTTGAATTCCTGACCTCAGGTCATCCGCCCACCCTGACCTCCCAAAGGACTGGGATTACAGGTGTGAGCCACTACGCCCGGCCTCCTTTACCCAATTTCGATGGGGCTGTTATTTTTTTCTTTTAAATATGTTTAAGTTCCTTGTAAATTCTGGACATTACAGAATGTCAGATGGGTAAATTGCAAACATTTCCTCCCATTCTGTAGGTTGCCTGTTCACTCTGATGATAGTTTCTTTTGCTGTACAGAAGCTCTTTAGTTTAATTAGATCCCATTTGTCAATTTTGGCTTTTGTTGCAATTGCTTTTGGCATTTTTGTCACAAAGTCTTTACCCATGCCTATGTCCTAAATGGTATTGCCTAGGTTTTCTTCTAGGGTTTTTTGTTTTTGCTTTTGTCTTTGTTTTCTGACATGGAGTTTTGTTCTTATTGCCCAGGCTGGAGTACAATGGTATAATCTCAACTCGCTGCTAACCTCTGCTCCCTGGGTTCAAGTGATTTCCTGATTCAGCTTCTCGAGTAGCTGTGATTACAGGCATGCACCACCATGCGGGGCTATTTTTGTATTTTTAGTAGAGATGACGTTTCTCCATGTTGGTCAGGCTGGTCTCAAACTCCTGACCTCAGGTGATCCACCCACCTCAGCCTCCCAAATTGCTGGGATTACAGGTGTGAGTCACTGTCTCAAGCCTTCTTCTAGGTTTTTTATGATTTGGGGTTTTACATTTAAGTCTTTAATCCATCTTGAGTTAATTTTTGTATAAGGTATAAGGAAGGGGTCCAGTTTCAGTTTTCTGCATATGGCTAGCCAGTTTTCCCAGCACCATTTACTGAATAGATCTTTTCCCCATTGTTTGAGACCAAACAGGCACACATTTCTAAAGTACTTGTATAACTAAAGCCTGGGTATAATTTACGGGTATAATTTATTACCCTGATTATTCAATAATTTACATATATACAGAGCCATCCCAACAAGTTAGAGTAGCACTACTGACAGCTATCATTTATCAAATGCTTACTAAGTACCAGGCACTATTCCAGGATATTTCTCACTACAACCCAAGGAGGAAGTGCTGCCACAGATTTACAGCATTTTATGGATTCTAGGGTTCTCTCTGAAATCAGCAGGTGGCTTACAGTCAGCGGTGTTTCACAGTCATTGTCATATTGGCATAATTGTTATTCTCTGCATGCACAACTTAGACTGAAAACCTTTGGATGACCCTTCTAATAATATCAAGAAAGTTCAGCATCGAGACTTGCAGAATGTCCTGGAGGCAGCATTAGGACACATCTGAGAAACGCTTCAACATCAAGTCCAGAGGATGAACGCGTGAAGAAAAACGTGGACATCGACTCTTAGTTGTACGTGATTCAGAAGACTCTGACTATGATCCAATTTTAGGAAAAGCTTAACTAATATATGCGTGAGTGTTACATGATAAAAATCTACAACTAAATAAATCAAAAAGAGCTCTTTCAATAACATGAAATTAAAAATTTAACTATTAACAAAGTATCATGTCATAGTTTAATTTGCAAAGGGAAACAATGGACCCTTTTTGTCTCTTTTAAGAATATGCATTATCACAGACAAGACCTGGGCCTCAGGCCTTTTTCTAAATTTAAAAATGAAAATCAGAAGAAATATCAATGTGCAAAATAATGAAAATGTCTGCATAAATTGAATCAGAAAAAAATAGAACAAGATATAAATTTGAGTTAAAGGTGATCTTGGGTGAAATATACAAGCAGCATATTCTTGACTTTTGCTCCCTGCAGTGTCCCCACAAAACACTCTGGCTCACATATGAGGGCACGTACTGTCGTTTCAGCTCTAATAGTGAAAGCAAAGCACACTACACAGCTTGAATGCTCTTTTTTATTTGCTTCTTGCACCTCATAAATATATTCAATTGTTCAAATTAAGTTGTATCTAAGGCAACTCAACCCAAAAGGTAATATTTCCTGCTCTCACAGGGCATCTGCCCTATTTATTCCAGACCACAGTGAAGGAAAACATACTTATCTTTGCATTTTCTTATTTTGCTGGGAGCAGAACGTACGGTAAAGGACACTAAACTTAATTAGCGCATTAACATAATCACATCAAGTGTCGACATAGAACTTGACAATAGGAAATTGGGTAAATCAATGTGAATGTTTTCAGCCCAGTGCTTTATAATTAGGGGAAAAAAGGATAGCTTTAATGCTGCTGGATGTGTTTACTGTGGTTGCTTCTAATTTATGAGGTTGGAATTGTTGACACCAAAGAGTGCTTAAATTTATCTTCATATTTAAATGAGACAAAAGTTTAAGCACACATATTTTTCTATTTAGAGACTTCTTTTTGACCTTCTGTGCTAAATATAGATGCTCTTTTGCTTTCAAAAGCACTTACCAAAGCTATAATGCTATGGTGAGTTTTGCAAATGAAAACAGGCAGCCGTAGCAATTTCAAGAGCTCAGAATCCAGAAGACGTAAAGTAGGCAAACGACATGCAAAACCTGATGGAGGTTTTTTGAGGAGTGGGCTGTCTTTTATTTTATATGAAACTTTTTCCAGGAATTTGCATGAATTCATCACCCTCTTCTCCTTCCTCCCAACCAGTGAAGGTGGTCTGGAATCATGAGTTATTTTCTTAGGGAAGGCAGAAAATTCGATGTACCGGGTGCTAGTTTTGTGACAATCTAGCTGACAAATAAAAGAGAATGTGTGGAGGGTAGACACTATAGTAATTGCAGAAACAGGTCTTAGTGTCGCACAAAGCTGCACCTGTGGCTTACTGGCTATGCGTCCCTAAGAGATTTGCTTCACCTAAACCTCAGTTTCCTCGTATGTAAAATAGAAATAATGGCACCTATTTCATTGCACTAGTACAGAAATCATTTGAGGTAATACAGGTAGCACAGTGCCTGGCACGTGGTTAACTGCTCAATAGATATTAACTAGCCAGAATGAGAATGAGATGCCATTATGGGGTTAGGATGTTAGTGGTTAATTGAAGATGCACCTAGGAAATGGGGACTCAGTAGCTCCATGCAGCCAGTGCCTTGGAAGGCCCACAGCTTTCCTTACGTACTTCCCGCAGGGAAACT